AAGAAATCTCTTTGTTGTCAGGACAGGAAAATTGATTATATCCCATTTTTGGAAAATTAACCACTTCCCATTTTGGTGGGGTCTCCATTGTTTGTGAGGGAAGGTTGGAGGAGAGCTATCCTCCTACACTCTTTCTCTTTCACATTGATATCTCATACCAATCTCTTCAGTGGGCGTTAACATCTTCTCTGTCTTTCTCATACATTCACCTCCGCCTATCACCACGCTACCATACGACCAATGATCTCTCGGCAGTGTGGGTGTGGCTAAGCTGGCCTCCTTAAAAATATAATCTAGAATTTTTGTTTACAAAATTCTCTTTGCCAATTAAATTTTTTATCACATGTTCTCTTTTTCCTGGGCCACCCAAAAATCCAGCACTCTTACCATTTCATTAATCGCTGTCAAAGTTTGCCATCTAATTCTCTACGCCAAGTTAGCCTTATCATGGAATCCTTGACTTGTTAAGGAATTAAATTCTTTTATCTTGTCAAATCTCAATTCTCCACTATTTTCTGGAGATTGCCAAAAGTTTACAATTGCCACATTGCTATTCAACATCTTAGCGTCTGTTGGCAAAGTAAATGATAACAATCCTCTCACCCATATCAAGACAATGCCAAAATTTTATAATTGCCACATTGCTTCTCTTCGCCCGTATCCAAGAAAAAAAATTAAACGATATCTTGGAAAGATAATTAACATTGATTCTCCCTGCCTGTACGGCATGTGCTTTGGCTGATAATTCCATATTTGCCTTTCTTTCTATCTCCCTCAGCGATACATAAATTAACTCGACAGGACCTCACACACAGCTCTCTCCATGGGTTTTTTTTGTAAACAAATTAAAATCTTTCTTTTAACGTCAATCAGTCTATCTTTCATTATAGCTCTTTTTCTGCTTTAAGAATGTCTATTTTCTGGTTTAATTTCTATGGTTAATTAGTTAGCCAATTATCATAGCTAAATAGTGTCACAATATAATAGCAATTGTGTCTACAATTTTTTTAGGTGCCTTTAAAACTCGGTCAGATTTGACTGTAAATCACCACTGTTAAAGTAGTGAATAATTAGAGAAAAGAACTTTATCGAATTGTGATTACTTCCATCATTTTCTTTAAAGATTTTTCAAAGTGTTGTAGGGAACAAACTGATAACTCTCAGTTTATACAAAGAACTGATACAACTCTATTAAATGGATTGTGCCAGTAGTAATATAAGCATCTATGGTGTTTGTCTCTTTCCAGCTTCAGACAAACTTGTAAATATCTACTTGTATTGTTCTTGTTTAAAATAAACCCTTATACTTTGTAAATTGTTGTTCTAGTTATTATTTTCAATAACCGCCCCAGACAACATTACAAAACAATGTAACATTAATGTAGGACAAGCACAATTAACAATTGTTTCTGATTCAAGTGCTAGAAAATTTCCTTTCTACTAAGAAAAGTCTTTTTAACCAAAGCAAATGAACATTCCATAGACATATAACTTTTGTGGTGTTTATGCCTTAGTATTTTTTGCTGCAGTGAAAGCAACTTCAGTTTTACTATTTGGTTTGATATAAAACATTTGCCCTTTTTATCAATGAATTTGCTTCTTGAACTTTTTTCTTGTTTGTGTTTGTAAATCATTAATACTTTTATTTGCTGTATACATATTTGTGGTGAATATATGATAAAATGTCTTCAGGAAAAGAAATATACAAAATTCTTAAATCATAATTTGTATTTTTCTTATTTGTAGTTTATTAATTCTATAAGATGGAAATATTACATTCATTAACTCTTACCATCTAACTTTTGCACAAACAATTTTCTTATATTAATGAGTTCATCAGACCTTCAATAAACTTTACTCTTTAGATCCAACATGTCTTTTCACAAGTATTTTAGTGATGAGACAGAAATGTCCCAATAGTATTATTATTTAACAAACAATTTGGGTGATTTGCAGGAATTAACTTGTATTAACAAAAACTTTCTTTGTGTGTATATATCCCATTAGGATAGTAAGAAGTTGCAATAAGAAAGGTGTTATAATGGTCTTGTTTTTATTGTATTTATAACACTATCTTTAGTTACTCAATCTACTAAAATGTTTCTTTTGGGTACCAAACCCCTTGTTACTTACATCATCTTGAAAAATTGACAACATTAATGTTTAATAGTTCAAATTATTTTTTACCATGTTTTTTCCCAACTTTTTAACCTAATCTTCTCAACTATTTTAATGGCATGAAATTTATTTCACTCAATGATAAACTTAAATTTTAAAAAAATCAAGTTTTCATATATTTTTAAAGTAACAAGCAAAAAATATATAATTAATAATATATGTGAAATAACTTTCTATGATTTCTTGGATTCAGTTATTTATTATGTTCATTTGTGAAAAGATATTTTTGAAAGCAATATTGAAGTTTCGATATTGTAAGATTGTTAACATTGTACTCAATGAAAGAAACCTGAAATGAAAATTCTACATAATCTTGCACTTTCCCATTTTATTTCTTTATGGAATAAAAGTAAAATTATTTTGTTTATATCATAATTTTTGGTTGATGCATTTATAACATAAATAAACCTCCCTTACTTCCTGATTTGAGATATTTCTCCTGGTAATATAAGCTATCAATACTTGTGTATGTGAGAAAAAGAGGGCCCTGAAGCATAAGTAGGTGTTTAGTTATTTTGTTTGTTGTTGGCAGTTGCTTTGATATCGAAGATGAGTTTGATGGTAGGGTCAATTTTGTCCTTGTTGCATATGTGCTGGAGACTGGTGTTGGGTCATGAAAACACTTATAAAAAATAAATGAAACGAAACCTAGTATAATAAAAATTTGAAACTGTCTTTGAGGTTTGAAAATGATAAGCCTAAAGAGAAGAATAAAACAGACTAATAGAATATTATGATAAAGTAAAAGTAGAATCTTTTCTCTTGAAATGTTCTCCAGTTATCTTGGTACTTTGTGAAACTAATTTAAATTCTTCTATCTCTCCCAATGCATTCTCTCTGTTCCAGACCATTTTCATCTTTGTCAAAAGGTTTCTATAATACATATGCACGGTCTTAATGTTTACATCTGAGAAAATAGCAAGGAAATTGTCTCTTGAGTTCCCAGATGATTCTTTCATCTACTTTTAATTTTCTTTATTGCATTCTGTTAGCTATCACTTTTTGCTTTATTACTCTCCTCCTTCTCAGGACTGATGGTAACTTCCAGGAGAATCTCATTGCCCCTTTTGGGAGCTAACGTTTTTTGCTGATATGAAGTGGAAACATTATATTGAACCAATTGTTAGGGTTGCTGCTAAGTAGGTTGATTCACTGTCGTGCTAGACAATTTTTTGGGCCAGAAATTTATTTTACACATTTATAAGTAATACATTTAATATTGCTGCAACCTGTGGTCTGGTGCTTCTGCTATGTATTTAGAGAATCTAAATAAAATCCATAGAAGAATCTACAATGTTATTCGTCCTGACCTGGCATCTCAGCTTCAGTCATTTTCCCACTGTTGTAATATTGTTTCCATGAGCCTTTTCTGTAAATATTTTCATGGTAATTGTTCTGATGAACTTGTTCTTTCTGGTTAATAATTTTTTTTCTTATATTCTCTCACACTCAGTAACCCCCTTGTGTCATAGTATTTTTATTGACTTTCTTGGCATGAAATGATAAAAATAAAAATAAAATGCAAAATATTTGCTTTATTGCACAGATAATTTATTCTTGCAGTTTGCAACTTTATATCTTCATATTTAACTGAAAAATTAAATTTAAAATAAAATTCAAATAGTCACACAAAATTTTTCTGAGAATTATTTTATTTAATCATGAAAATAATATGTGACAATAATTTTCTTATATAGAATATTATTCTGTGAGGAATTCTCTGGATACCAAAACATTTGATACTGGTGGCCATTCTTGAAATATTAGTAGTAAAAATAGGTTAGAAGATCAGTATAGGAAAAAGAATTTAATTTCTACCACACATTTTCTTAGTATTATTATAGTTAAATTGAAATTTCAGAGAAACGCGACATGATAATTACTATGTTGTAAGCTTATTTGCTTATATATTGTACAACTGTAGAATGGACTAATATTTTACATAATTGTTTAACGTTCGAAGAGGAATAATTATGCACTAATGCTTTGACAGAGTAGCTTCCCTTGTGGAAAGCTTCCTTTTCATTTGATTTATTTTTGACAAATAGTTTTATTATTTATTGAATGTTATTGCTTTTTAGTTTACTTTTTTTATTTTTTAAGAGCGTTTTGCTTGGGATGAGAATTTTTAGTAGCCTTCCTGCATTTTTTTTTTTTTTTTAAATTTAACGAGACTTCTATATGGGAGGTGGCAATGGTTAGTTAATTTATCTTTTTGTATTTTTTAATGTTTTTAAAAAGTATTGAAAAAAAAATTAAACCCTAGGTGGGAGTAACTCATACTGCGCAATACTTTTTTGTGGCCTTAATGCGTGAGATTTATTGTGGTCGAGCTTCTATAACTATGACATTTTTAGAATATTCAAACCCAGTTAATAACTTATTTTACATAAAACTCGTTTTTGGATGCTCATTTTCTTAAAATTATTTTTTAATACCTTAGTTAAAATAGTTTCAAGGATGAAGTTAACTCTGAAAGGTAAACTTGTATTTACTCACTTGACAAATAAGAATTATGAGTGATTTTAGATGATTTCTAATAGACATTTCAAATAAATCTGAATGTTTTCAGCACAAATCTATCTGAAAACCTTTCATTAGAACATTTTCTACATTTTATAAATTTAAAGATAAATATTTGGATATAGGTTGAGCAATTAGAGAGGAATGTATGTCAACAATTTTAAAGAAAAAATAACCAGTGATATTTCATAATTGTTTTTGAATTTATGTAGAGATGGAAGTTTTAAAATAGATAATTGTATTTTTTATGTATATATCTTTATTTTCATGTTTTTTTTTTTTTTTTTTTTTTTTTTCAGTTACATGGCCCAGATGTTAATATTCTTGCAAAAGACCTGCAAATGGCCTTGAAAAATGTGGAAGAGATTACTACTATATGTAGGCAGGAAGATCATTTTACTGATGAAGCTAACAGACGACTTTCAAAACAACTTCAGTCTGTTATCACCGAGTTGGTAAGCATTTACTTTTTGCTATTTAATCAAGTTTCTTTCCATAATTTTATTAATGCTGTCATAAACTTATTTTTTCAATTTTTCTCTTATAAACTTGCATGAAATATTTTGATTGTATGTTTATAAAGCTTAAAGCTGGTAATGTTTTTTTCTTTCGTAAAATTATGAAAAGCAATACTTGTTCATATTTATTATGCTTTATTATTCAAACCATCATGTTTTTGGTTGTTATATTCACAATATTTTGACAGTTATACTCGCCAACTTTCTTCAGTTGTCTATTGTTGTACTCAAAACTCGTTATTCAATTCATGGGTTAGATTGTTTCTCATCTCGCATTCCATGCATAGTGGGTATTTCATAGCAGTTTATACTCATCAGTATAATGTATCTCCTAAGCATAGAAAGTAGAATGAGAACAATCTATTCTGAATTGGCTAATGGGTTTAGTTTAAAATACCAATAAGGTTACCAACTGCAATAACAAACACTTGATTATCTCTTCTCTTTCTACTTATCATTAATGTTTCTGTTCCTAATTCTTCCACACCTGGTAACTCCTTGCGTTTTAGTGGCATTACTGCCTTTCTTGGGATGATTCCAATTAAAAAAAAAAAGAATTTTTTTTATGTCAAACAAGGGTTAAAAACAATCCTGTTATAAAATCTACAATAAATTATTAAGTGTTTCTAAGTAAAAAAAAATATAAAATGAATTCATAATTATACAGCTCTTAACAAACAACAAAAAGTATGATGGATTGTAAAATATACTTTGGATACTAAAATACACAAGCTTTTAACTAAAGCCTGTTGTTTACTAACTGGCTCCTTATTTTCTAATGAGAGTAACAGCTTAACTTGAAAAAAACAAGAACATCTGATGTTTGTGGTTTAACTCTGACAAAAAAACTTTAAGAGTATAAAGAACAACATTTCTACTAAATGAACTATAAACAATACCCTTACCTTAACTAGATGTACACATTACAAATGGTTTTACCATTTTTTAATCACAGTTAAAATTGAGTCAATCGGATATGAAAAGCTTGTGGCAAATTTGACCTTTGTCGTGACCTTTTTAGAACATATGCACCCTACAAATTAATTAATAAGACAAAAAACATATGTTAGAGTTACAATTTAAAAAACAACATACATGAACATTTGAACAGATTATAAACCTTCAATATCTGATAAAAATTTTTGATTCTAGGAAGCCAGATTCCAAAGACATTTTTGATGCAATTATTAATGATTTCTCAATATTTCTTTCTTTATGATTGTACATACAAATTCTTTATACCACTGCTTTTTGCAATCAGTCTTGTGGATTTTTGACCCTGCAAATTTTTCTCTTGAGAGATTTTGATTTCACACATATGAGTATTTGTCTGTGTATGTATGTATTAGAATATCAAAGAAAGTTAACTGGATTCTGGTTTTTAGAACAATATCTATTAATAAAAGGTTAACACGATCAACATGCTCATATCAATGCTAAAGCTTTTCATTGTAATAGACATAATAAAAACAAATTTAATGAAGTATCTGTTTTCAGTTTTCATTTATAATTTTACTTAATTCTTTCTTAATAATAAGGGAAGGAACTGATGGATTTTGAACCTTAAGAACTTATCACCAAAATATGGAAACAAATCCACCAACAAGAAAAAATTATTAAAATATAACAGATATAACTTTTCTGTTGTCTTTAATAGAATTTGTTTGAATGAACATTTGTTACCAAGATACACCCAATATATATATATATATATGTGTGTGTGTGTGTGTGTTTCAAGCTAGCTAAATTGTTTATTATATACTATCAGGCTTTGCCTACTCATTATCACTTCACAAATTAAGATATATTCACGACTTGAAATCTTCAAAACAAAAATTTTAAATGAACATTTCATTCATAAATTGGCTTGTTAAGGAAAGGTTTACAAATAGATGCCAACTTGTTGGAAGGTCAAGTAAAATGCAAACTTCAAACAGTTAATTAATGAAATAAACATTTTGAAATCAATATGCATATTAATTAAACCTGAAAACTGATTTTGCCTAGAAGTTGATAATATATAATACAGATATTTAGCCTTTAGTGCGTAAACCCTGCTTTGGAAGGGTATACACGTTTGGATACTTGCCAGTCACAGAGATCCGTCCCTGATATTCTGTCTAAAACAGACTGTCAGTGCTGGGTGTTGACCTCAATGTCCACTTTTATATATATATATATATATATATATATATATATTCAAACATGTTTTATTGAATTTGAGTGACAAAATCTGTTTGAATAAATGTTTGCTTCCTAAGTATATTATACATATATATATATATATATATATATATATATATTTTTAATAACCTATACTTTTGTGGCAAATTCTCCTTTATGCTGATCTTGTTGAATAAAACAAGAAATATTAGCTACATGTTTTTTAAACAATTTTTCTTAATTTTGAATCAAATGCTTTACATTAGGTCAAAATTCATGACTGAACAATCATCTCTCAGTTGCATCTCTGTCTTTGGGTATTGGTTGAATTCATTGAATGTGTGAATTCTTGTACTTTTAACTATTTTATCAGTTATCATCAGAGTAGAGGCATAGAAAAATTTAAGTTGCTAATTTTGTTTTAATCTATTAAAATATTTTATGAATTAATCAGTTAAGATTTGAAATTACATACATCATTAGTTTAATACAGTGATGTCATGTGGTTCACTTGCAGATTATAAACATTTGAGAATGTAAATGGAATTGTTGAAACAAATACTATTTATGGATGGTGCTTTTCTTTTAATATAGATTGCATCCATAATTTGTAATATTTTCCTATTTGTGTATAATAATTACAGTGCTTTAAAAAATGCCAGGAAGTATCCAGCAAAATCTTGTCTACTACACTGACAACACAGATTGAGATGGTCAAAAGTACTTGAAGAAAACATGAACATGAAAACATGTATATCTTATTCAAAAATTTGAAAAATACAATAAAAAATGAAAAAGCATGCCCTGAATTTAACAAAACCTATATATATATATATATATATATATATATATATATAGAGAGAGAGAGAGAGAGAGAAAGGGTATCCAACTACAAACTGATACCATGAACAGTTTGAAAAATCCTGCGAATTTTAAAATTAAAATTTGTAGGTGAAAATGGTCATTAACTAAAGATATTTGTTCTGTTTAATGAAAATAAACATTGAGCACTCTTTTGTGAGTCAGTTTTAATATATTTCAAATTCTTAAATTGAAGTAACAATTGTTTTGTAAGGAAAGAAGATATGTTGTATGATTCTGAAAGTAAATTCACTGTGGGAGATTCTGATACACTATATTCTGATACTTCCTATAACACTTTCACCTTTAATATTTTATTTTGTCTTTTGATTAAAAAAAAGAATAAGCAATAATAATCTTAATAGGACTCTGGATTATACCAACAGATTACTACCTGTATGTAATATATACCAGTTAAATCATGACGCACTATGACAAATATAATCAAACTAATTTTAGCCTACTATTATGCTGTAAGATAAAAGTTAAAACAAAGTTCTAACAAAATATTTTGTATTTTTACTGTGCTTCCATTTAAACTAGTAGAGAAATTGTGAAATTGGAAAGTAACCTTAATGAAGGTATAGAGTAGATGCTGCCAAGGAATTCTGGGATATTTTAAAATGTTGCCAAATGTAAATGGAAAACCAATAATTAAACTGATTCTGATGCTGTCTAAGATAACAAAATGCTTATCAAATGCAAAAAAAAAAAACAACTTTTGTTTCACAGGGGACAACCATGGGAAGTCTGTTAATTTATAAAATCAGATAAGTGTAGAATATGACAATATAAACAGTTGCATTGTCACTAATGATGATGCAGATCAGAATAATATCAACTGCTATACAAAGGACAAGTTAGAAATGTTCACTACCAAACCTTATATATTACAGAAGGTACAATATCTGAGTTAATAATCAAGATGAGCATTCTGGTTTGTGAATAATGAAGCATATTATGATGATAACTCATTATCTCAAAGATTTCAACATAAATTGATCAAATTTATCTATAAGCCTTTATGCTTTTATTTTGCAGTTATTTTTTTTAATTTCATTTATTGACATTGTTGTCATACATTTTAATATAATTCCATTATCTGATATTATTATGACATGATTGATATTAAGTGATTTCTCTTTTGATGCTTTATTGATATTCTCTTTCAGTGCATTTCTGAATTAAAAAATAAAAAATGAATAAAACAATAAAGATAACTTTATTAGTCATAATAATTTTCCTTTCTTTGTTAGGATTTTTGTATAATTAAATTTTTCATATTTTATTTAATAAATTTAATGGCAATTTCCTAAAATTACTTCACCTTTTATTGATAAAACCCAAAGAAGAATTTGCAATGTTATTGGTCCTGACCTGCCATAGGGTAACTTCTCTGTGCTTTTCTATAAATATTTTCATGGTAATTGTACTGATTTGATTTCCTCTTTGATTACTCAACTTTATAAAGTTTAATTTAAGTACAGTACTAGATTGGTGGCAAAGTTTCATCATTTTATAATTGAAATGGCTAGATGTAACCATAAGTTCTTCTCTGGCACATCACTTGTGGAACTCTCTTCTAGCTTCTTGCTTTCCAGCTAACTTTGATCTTCAAAAATTGAAATTTCTTGTCAATTGTTATCTTCTGTCTTAATTCCTGTTCTTTTATTGTTCTCTCTTCTTAATGTTTTCTTTCCTCATATTATCCCAAACTCAGTAACTCCTTGTATTTTAGTGGCTTTATTATCTTGTTTGGTGTGAAATGATTAAAAAAAAAGAATTTCTAAAAATATTTCTATTTTTAGAAAACAACCAGATACTTTCACACCTTTATTTTAAATTTTACTAGCAAATTATAAATCTGTTTATTTTTTTATTACTTTTTCTTTTAGAAATATATAATTCTTAATATTCTTGTATTTTTTTCAGCTTGCTTTAGACAACAAAGTTTCTTCAACAGCTTTAGCTTCTAAGCATTATGAGATCGTGGAAACATTGATATCTTTATCTGAAGGACAAGTAAGATACCAAAATTGTAGCATTTATATTCAATAATAAATTATCCAACTAGAAAGGGCTGTTAAATTAAAAAATTTAAAGTCTAAATTTCAGTCATGTGAAAACTTTTTTTTTACAATTTTTTTTTTTAAAATAACAATTACATTTTCTTTATTATTGTGTAGAAATTAATTAAAATAAGCAGGCTAATTGCATATGATTATCATTTTCTTTTTTTGTAAATTTAGCATATATTTTTTATGTCGATATTTTTGGATATTTTACAGGTAAATAATTAAAAAATTGTCTTCATATTATTTGTTTTAAATATTAATTCTTCTTATTATTATTATTACCCAATATCTTTCAAATAATCTTTGAAATAAATTTTAAAAAATAGTCTCTTAACATAAAATGAATTCTCCTGAGTTTGTTGATTTCTAATGCTATATAATTGTTGACAACAAAAAGATATTTGTTAATGTATAATTTTTGCTTTCCTAAAAGTGTTACCAAAATGTTTTTACTGAAATATCTATTATTTCACCTCTAATAGTGAATATATTTCCTTATTCCTATGTTATCTCTTTATTCTTAGGAAGTATATCCTGCTGTCAAGGAGAGTGTGAAGGATGTGATGAAATTAATGTGCAATTGTGACCGCCATATTAGCCACATCCTCATTAACTCCTCAGTACCACTCTCGCTTATTAGTGAAATCAAGAGTACTGAAAAGGGTAAAATACTTTCAGATATTTGAACTTGTTATAAGTAACTTTTTTTTTCATAAATCATAAAGTTATAATGTATGCTCTGTATTTGGGGGGGTAGAAAAATTAACTTGGTATCACATGATTCATTCTAATATTGGATATTTGTATTATTTTGCCCAAATAGTACAACTTTGGGAAAGTTAAGATGTTATGCCTTTTGCATGTGACACTCTCCTGTCATTAATTACTTTAAACTTTTCTTGTCATAAGTTAAAAAATCAGAAGCAATTCTTTACAAATGTCTTATGCAAGATTTAATTAGTGAAATATCAAAAATGCATTGTTCTTTGTTCTGCTTAATTTTTTATCAAAAGGGAAAGGAAATACTTTCTTTCTATTATTTAATTTATGCATTGTGATTATTACAATTTTTTCCTTGACCCTGGCCTAAAAACCTATTTCGATAAACAAAATATATTGTGATAAGCTTCATCCATCTTGTACCAGAAATGAAACCACATATACTGAAATGTACCCTGTTAATTCCTGCATTGTCCTTTATTTGAAATAGAACATATTCATATACTTGGTTGTCTAACTTTGATTTTTATTGTTTTTCTGTATTTAAGTATTTGTGTATTTTTTGTGTATGTAATATAAAAAATTCTAAAACTCAGTGAAGATTGTTGTGTCTAACCATTAGATTTGTTTTAGGTTAATGTTAACAACTTATATTTTATAAGAGAGAAAAATAAACATTATCATTATTGTTGCTCATCCACAAAAATCAAACACCTATTTTTTGATCTAGGATTGTGATCAGTTTATATATAAATGAGCAATTTACTTTATGCCAGGTTGGTCATTGGTATTAAATCATTTTCCCCCATCTATCTTATATTAAAATAATTTAAATAGCATCGGGATTCATTCCAGCTTATCAAGCTGACTCTATGATCAATACATAAGAAAGACCAGGAATAAGAAACCTTTGTTCAAGATGAATTTATGGTAGCTATTTCACCTGTGACTGTTGGAATATAACCTTTTGTCTTCAATCAATCATAAACACATTGTATCTGTAGAAAAGATAAGTACTCACTTGTTGACTTTAGAAGATCAATTACCTGCACAAAGAAAACTATTTTTCAACTATTGTAAAAGATTAGTTCTTTGACTTATTGATGTTATCTTTCAGTTACTGTTGAATTCTGTAACTCTGCAACATTACTGGCAGCCATTTTAGCTGGAGAAGACTCTCTCCCTGTTGATATTCACAGTAAGTTGGTATTTTATTATTATAAAAAATAACAAATTATATATCTATATAATAACAGCAGTCATGTAATTAAATTACATTGTAAAATGCAGCAATACTAGAATCCTTGTTAGTTAAAAATATATTTGCATGTTTTTGCTTTTTTTTAGATATAGTCTGTGAAACCATCTATTTTTTAGAAAAATTCTTTTTTTTCTTTGTCTTCAAACAACTTGATACAAAATTTATAAAGTTCCTAACTTTTTATAATATATCTAATAACCAGAACTGCAAAATTAGAATCTGAAAAATAAATTTTGGTAAAACTCAATTTTCCTTTTCTGTTATTCTATCTAAGTCCTACTGAATTAGAATTATATTCTTTTAACAGTGTCAACCATAATAGTAAAAGATATTTTTAATAAATGACAAAAATCTATCCAATCATCAAGTTATTTTTCATGTATATTTGTTAATGTTTCTGTTACTTCTCTCTATATTCAAGATAATATAGACATCCTGTTACTAGTGAAGCTGTTAAATTTCATTGAGAATCCTGGAGGAACAATGTATGCAGAAGCTGTATCAGTAGATCTTATGACTCTAATATTGGCATATAACTTACATCATAGAAATAATGTGCAAAATAATGTGTTGATGCAAGCACTGATCCATGAAAATATCCAATACCCTGAAGTGCTACTAGAAAAGGTGCTTCTATTCTTCAATAGAGGAGGTAAGTGGTTTATTGTAAATAAAGAGAGCTTTTTAAGCAAATTTGGAATTTCTCCTTTTGAATCCATTTTTTTTTCTTAAAAAAAACAAAACAAACTGCATTCAAAATAGTTACCTATGAATTTTATGAGTTAAAAAATGAGGTGAAATTATAGTAATTTCAAACCAATTGTATTTATATATCTATCTTTATTAAAATAAAACTTTTTTTCAGTTCATATTGATTTTTAAGTTTTGTCTCTACAGTTGGTAATAACTGTTTTGTTAACAAAAGTCTAATAATATTAATAATACTAGTTATTTTGATTATCTAATTTATATCATCATTATATTATATCAAATTCAATTCTTTTCTTGATCTTCATTACTTATATGAAAATATTCATTATTCCTTACATAAAAAAGATTTAAATATTGCCGAAAGAGAAATTTGTATCTCTCTAAAAAAATACATACATTCATAATTTCTTTTAAATATGTTTAATTTCTGTCTAAACTTCTGGGATGAGTTATCATTATTTAATAAGGAAATGGCTTTAGGAACTGTACAACTGAAGCCAACAGTATGACTGAGATAAGTAAATGATACCCTCATACTCTGGCCTAACCAGGGAGATGTACAAATAATGCTGGACCATGGGAATTCAATAAAACCTTCAATTCAGTTCACAATGGAAGAAGAAAAGGATAATCAGGTAGCCTCCATGGATGTACTAATAACTCACACAGAGAATGGGTTCAAGACCTCCATATATCACAAAACAACCTTTACTGGACAATATCTAAACTTCAATTCCCACCAGCTACAAGAACATGCAAAAATCATAAGTGGTGACCATGACACATATCAACAGAAAATGATCAGCATCAAGTGTACTCTTCAGAATAGCAACTACTCTGCAAACATAACATCAGCATCTGCAGGTAGAAGTAGAAGGTTCAAAGAGGACCAGAAAATTGCCATGATTTACAAATGCTTATTGGAAAAAATTCAGTTGATCTATGGTTTATACAGCGTCAGGACAATATTCAGAATTAAATGAAGAAATTTTTTAAAAATATATTCAAATATATTGTAGTCTACATTATATTAGTGCTTGCTAATATATATGATTTAATATTAGATAAATATTAATAGATAATACTAAATACTTTATAACACAAATTGTAATGAAAGATTCAAAATACTTGAAAGCTATTCTCAAACAAAATAAACCACCCATATTAAATATTTTCTTTCAACACAGGAGAAGACATTTTTAAATTTAAAAAAAAATTAATGTAATCTTCATTAAACAATCAGCCTAATGAGTCGCATAACAAAACTTAACATCTGAATTTTGATGGACAGAATGCATAGCAGAATTAACAGAATTAATAAACAGAGCAAGAACATTTCAGTTTCTTTAAAGACACTGGAACAAAGAATGAAATATTTATTATCAGAATGATATCAGAGCAATACAAATGCAATAGCATGTATACCTATGTTTTATAGATTATGCAAAAGTGTTTGACAAGGTATAACACAAAGAACTGTTAGAACTGCTTGTTAAGCTTGGTTTATTTGAGAAAGATATTTGAATAATGCATAACTTATACTAGAAGTAAACCACCTGAATATGGATAGAAAATGAATTCAGTAAATAAGGACATAAGACAGGATATATCTCCTCACTGCATTTATTCAAGCTTTACAGTGAGATGATCCTGAAAGAACTAGAAATCCTATGAGGATTTATTAGCACACACAATCTTAAAAGCATAAGATATGCAGATGACACAGTGTTGATAGCAGACAGAGAAACTACAGGAACTCCTACAAAAGATAGTAAAGGAAAGTGAGAAGAAAGGACTAAACATCAATTGTAAGAAGATAGAATGTATGGTTGTCAACAAAAGGAACAGCCCAAGATATGAATTACAAATTGGAGATACCAAAATTAAGCAAGTACAAAAATTTAAATATCTGGGAAGTGTTTTAACAGAGGATGGAAAAATGTGACACCATTATCTAATGATGCATTGGAATAGTAAAAGATACCTTCCAAGAGCTAGAAACAGAAAAATTTTGTTAGAAACAAAGAAAACAGAAAACTGTTATGTAATATCAGTCTTCCTCTCTGACAGTGAATGTTGGACAATCTTCTCACAGATGAAAAAGAGACTTGAGGAAATAGAAATGTGGTTTTACAGAAGGATGCTGAAAATCCCATGGACTGAACATGTAAGTAACAAGAAAGTTTGAAGGAAAAGAGGGACAAAATGTAGATTTATACTTAGAATCAGAAAGAGACAGTTGAAATTTCTCGGACATATAATGAAGAAAGAGTGCTTGAAGAATTTGGCATGCTCAGGACATATTGAAGGTAAGAAGGGCAACAAGTAACAAGTAACATATCTAAGAAACTGTTGGCAGAACAGGGATTAGAAGGGATAGCGAAAAGACAAACTTTACTAAGAGGTACCAAAGATATGAAGTTGTGGAGAGCTATGATCACCCACATCTTGAAGGGACACTTTGCATAAAAGAAGAAGGTGCTCTCAAGTTATGTGACCCCTAATGGATTAAATTTAAAAAAAAAAAATTAAAATGTATATTGACTAACTTACAGTTAAAACTATTCTACATATGACATCCCTTATATTCAGTATATATGCATTTAAATTAGAATTTATAATGTTTATAGAATTATAAATTAATCAAAACTTCTCTTTATTGGAATTGATAAGATTAATGTTCTTGATAATGACTAGTGATTGTCAAAAGTACTTGAACAAAATATTATGAACTGTTCATAGCCTTCTGAATTTCATGTGGATGTGAAACTGCTTATATACAATTTGAAAAAATGCCTAAAAAAATAGACTTTTTTGGTCAAATTTAATAAAATGCATTTGAATGAATTTTTGCTGTTTAAGTATACATTGTATAATATTGTAAATTCTGATTGTTTTCATTATTTACCTTTCAGTGGATTTGCTTGTTGACCAGGGTTTGCTGAATGTCCATAATAATTCAGTAATTCAGTTTCTGAAGGACATGTTTAGTCATGATGACACAAGTAATATGTATTATACAAATGATGTCAAAGTGATGCTGGACATTGTGCTACGTAACATTACAGATAAACCACACGGAGATAAGGTAAGATAAATGAACATTTAAAATTTGAGAATAATGAATATTCATAAATATTGACTTAGCTGTTTTCAACAGCTTGTAACCAAGAGAAAAGAATTGTTATATAAAATATTCTTTTTATTATTATTACTAATAATAAAAAACTGCAAAAACTAATAGAAAAACAGTGAGTTATTTAAACCAAGCAAATTGAAAAATTCATATGAAAAAAATTGAGTATTTAAAACATCCTCACTTGTCTTCTATAAGTCTATCCTGTCTTGGTAGCAAATGATGTTCCCTTCCTAAAGAATTCTTCCTTCAAAAAACTAATGGTCTTTAAAGGTTTTGTCAATTTGCATCTGATTTTTTTGTTCCTTCTTCAATTCAAATTCAAAAATATTTTTTCCTGAAATGATTTCAAATGTTTCTTCTAATTGATATGATTGAAAATTCTGTTTGATTTTTTAATCATTTTTCACAACAGCTTTCAAATCTTTATTGATTGATGGTGTTGATCAACTCTCCTAGTTTTCTAAATTGAATATATTTGTTATGTGGAAACTATATGTCAAAATGATTAATTTAACCAAAAATGGTGCAAATAATTTTCAATGCTTTTGGATATTCTTATTCTGGTGGCTATCTCCATGTCATATAATGTTAAATTTCAAGTAATGTTTTGATTTGGTCACAATCAACCTAAATTGGTTTATCCAACTAGAGTATTGTTCAGCACAAAATTTTGCAAATCACTTTTGATACATTTGATCATTCACAATATCTGTTCCATAAATTGTAAAAATCTTTACTTTGCAACTTTAAGTTGCATCTTTACCTTTCTTAAAAAAAAACAATATACCAATAACATTGCTTACTTTCTTGTCTTCAATGTTAGAATAAGTAAAGAGAAATATATCAATTTTGACAAAAAAAAATCAACACTGTTGACTTATGAGATAATACAATTAAAACTGAGCTTTTTGAATAAACTTATGTAAAACTAAAAACTCCTAATGTTGAAAAACAACAGACATGCAAAACAAACTTTTTGGCCACTTAATATTTATGGATCCATTAAAAAAAATGAACCACTCTATTTTTTTTCATTTTTCTTATATTTTAAAATCATGATTGTTCAGTAAAGTTTTAAAGGATGAGAATATAATTTTCCTGAGTTGAAAGAAAGAGGTTCATGTTTATATTGCATAACTGATATAGATATTTTTACATTGGCAAGATAAGCCAAAGAGAATGGGTATTATTGAAAAAAAATCAACCCAGTGTTATTGGATCTATATCAGTCTTTGGCCATTTTGACTTTCTGTATGGCATATTTAATTTCATGATTGTACCATAATTATCTCTGAATTTCATTGTGGAATTTTAACACCTGTTTTTTTTTTTTAAAAAAAGCTAGGAAGCATACATAAAACGTAATTTGATGGGCAATTTTTTTTGCTAATTGAAAGCATGAGTGGAAAAAATTCTGATATAAGTATTATTTCTATATTTTAAACAGAAAAATGATATTTGTGCAAACGCTGTCAACATATTACCTTTTTAGGTCATAAAAATGTTGATTTTAAAAATCTTACAAAATTCAATTAATTATTGGATTTTGATCAAACTTTTGTTGTTTTGTAAAATAATTTTTTTTTATGTAGTCACTCATTTTTTTTATGTAGTCACACTTCAAAATTTTTGAGGAAATATTTTTTTCATTGTGATTATACTTCCAAATTAAAAAAATTATTGATTTTCAATTGTTTAGTGAGGCATATCATATGACAATTTACACTTTTTAAAGATAAGACCTTGAAAAATAAATACTGAAAAAATAAAAATTTGGAACCCAGCTGAGAAATCAATATCGATGACTTTTTTTTTTTTTTGTTTTAATTTATATTCTAGAGCTGTTGTCTGTAAGAAGAAAATGAAAAATTTTCTATAATTTTTTTTTTTTTTTTTTAGTTTTCTATAATATTGATTTAATATTTTAAAAAGTCTTTCTTTAATCTTTCAAAAGGTGTAGCAGTTTGGGATTTTGTTTTATAAACACTTGATGTCTGTTATAACAAATAAATATACAAAGAAATTGAAGAAATAATTGTCTCCAACTATTTTTTAAAATGATTTTAAAACCATGCTCTATATGACTTTATTTACTGTACAAAAAGTTTATCCTGTCACTGAAGGAGACTCTGATCCCTGACCAATAGTGTGCTTGAATTTCATTGTGGTGTTGTCATATTCTGCTATGGTAACAGAAAACAACTTGGAATTAAATTAACAAAAAGAAAACTGCAATTAACAGACCTTGAAAAAGAATGGGAAGTAATACTAATAATGCAGAAAGCTAAAGGTTAAAAATATCATACAGGTCGTGGTTGCAGTGGTGGTGGCGGTGGTTATTATTAACAGCAACTACTACTAATCACTCATACTAACTACATCATGGTTGAGATGGACTTACTGAAAAAACAAACAATAAATGTATATCTTCAACATTAATTTTAAAGAAATTTTCTACAGAATTTGTAGAAGAATTAACCAATATATTATTACAAGGTAATATTGTAGGTAGAGATGTGTGTCATACATGAAACTTAGATAATTGCAATGTGAATTTTAAGAGACAAATCTTAAATTTTTCTAATAATAATTATAAAATGCTTTAATTTACAGATGATGATAAAGATTGCCTAATTTCAAAATATAACCTAGCAACAGATTATTTAAATAAGGATTTATTTTTAGGTTAAACTAATATAGTAAATAGTACATTAATTTCTCATGTATTCATGCAAACCATTGAAATATTTTGTACTTGTCTTCCACATAAAACTCGTTTCCTGATTAATCCAATATATAACTTGTGGATAAGCCAAAAGATTTTTCTATTTTAAAAATAAAATAGTTTGTTTTGTAAATTTTTGACAGTGAAAAGAAAACTTTATTTCTTTTAATATTCAAAAATGTATTCTATTTAATTAAATATTTAAAAAATATTATTATTATAATGTTTTTCACCAAAAATAATTTATTATTTGAAACAAAAAACAGTTTTTCTTACATTCTTTATTGTCAGAATTTCATGTTACAATGGGTTCTTGAATTAACTTTTTAAAACTAATGATTATTTTTTTTTTAAAAATTATAGAAAAAATAAATATTTAAAAAAAAAATTGTTTTTTATTATTCTTCAGAAATCATTTGTTTCATAGCTATTTGCTTGTCTGCCATCAGCCAGTAATACAAATATTATATCACCCACCCAACCTATCAGCATGTTATAAAATGTTTTTCAGCTTTTGTAAATAAAATTTGGGAATTTTTTCCCTAGTTAAATTGAGTATAGATTAATAAAGTTTCCATAAAATTCTCTTTATGTTAAAGTTATTTTTATTTTTAATAGATTGTTTTTGTTGTTTACAATATTGAGTTTCCTGTCAATCAGATAAGAGACATTGTTGTTATTTTTGCTGATAAAAGAAAAAAATTGACTTGTAGCAATTTCATTAAACTTCAATTAATTAAAATGTTTCATTTTTCTTTGCAAAATACAAATTTGGATTCTTATGCTTGTCAGGAAAGTATGAAAAATCATAACAACTCACTTTTTAAATTTTTAATTAATATCTTCTGACAAGATTAGAGATACCTAATTGTAAGAACATAATAGATTTTTTTTTTTTTTTTTTATTAATATTTTTACTTTTAATCCTTACTCATTCTCTCACACTTCTCGTTTGAAGTTGGGAATATCTGGTACCAAAGGGGGACAACTATTAAATATTAGAGTAATCTTCCTTAGAAAAATATTGTAAATATTGGGCTGTCCGGAAAGTTCATGCCGATTTTTAGTTGTACAAGTTCCAACACGTTAGAACTTAGAATTTATCGACAGATATAATATGCTTACATTTCCTATTAAAACACATCTTTCTCAAACTATCTCTTGAGAAAGAAAGTTTAAAATTACTTAATTACTTTTTTGCATACCTATGAAAATGGAAGATTATGATACTTCTTGATGTTTTTTTTTCTTAAAATGCCTTGCAAACAATAAAAAAAAGATATATGCTGTGTACAGTGAAGGTACTTTAGTTGACAGAACTGTACAGAAGTGGTTCACTAAGGTTAGAGTTTGTGATTGTAACCTTATTGATGAAGGATACTCAGGCATACTCCCCCCCCCCACACACACACAATCACACACTACAGATGATGATCAAATCAAGACATTGGCTGAGATTAACCAATATTACACAATGCAGAAATTGGAAAACTAAATTTATCAAAATCCACCATCCATGAGCACTAAGTGAAAAGAATATTTTGGATCGCATTTCATCTGTAATTTGCTGTACAAATGCAATGAAAATGTACCCTTTTTGAAAAAAATTGTGATGGGTGATGAGAAATGGATCATTTACAACAATGTTCAGCAAAAAAAGATCATGGGGTAAGTGACATGAGCCAACTTTAGCCACTTCAAAAGCAGGTCTTCATCCTAAGAAAGTCATGCTGTGCATCTGGTGGGATTGGAAAGAAATCCTGTACTATGATCTTCTGACAAGTAACCTGTCAATTGATTCTGAAAAGTACTGCTTGCAACTAAATGAATTAAAGGCAGCAATTCAAGAAAAATGCTCTGAATTGGCAAACAAGAAAAGTGTTGTTTTCCATCAGGATATTGCCAGACCTCATATTTATTTGGCAACCTGGCAAAAATTATTGCAGCTTGGCTGGGATGTGTTACCCCACCCACTATATTCACCAGACTTTGGATTTTCATTTATTCAGGTCCTTGCAAATCCTTAATGGTAAAAATTTTAATTCTTTGGACAACGTAAAAAACCACCTTAATCAGTTCTTTTCCAAGAAACCACCGAAATTCTAGGAAGATGGAATCTTTAATGGAGTTAGGTTGTGCAACAAAATGGTTCATATTTAATTGAGTAAATATTTAATGGTATAATTTTGTTTAACGTTTTAATTTCCCTTAAAAATCAGCATGA